CCTTAAACTGATTGCCCCAGCATGGGAAATTTCAGCCCCTCCAAAACCCCTGAACATCCAGAGGGTGCATAAGCACCAGCTGTGGAGTATGGGCATGATGGGGGCCAGATGATGATGAGTTCCCTGATCCCCAGCTGGTAATATGGTTCCATAATATTTTATAGTGGAGGTTTCAAAGACAAGGCTAGAAGCAGAGAATATAGCTTCACTGATTCCTCAATAGTGGTTCCACTTAAGTTTTAACAGCAATTATGTCCATTTATACATGAATCAATAGTAATTTTTTCTCCCACGTTTAGTTGTAGATTCCCCCTTCAAAGATAAGATAAAGAGAATGCCTACTTCTGCTTCACAATAAAATACCTAATTTACCTTTCACCACCATGAACTTGCCAACATCATAGGACTATAAATGTCATTTAAAAATAAGAATATTGTTCTTATTATGGTCAATTAGTACTGAAACTTTGCTGTGTAGAACCAATATAGGACTACACATTGGCCACAGAGCCAGCACTAGGCATAAGCAGACTAAACAATTGCTTAGGGTCCTGAGCGGCTGAAGGGGGCCCCTATTTGCTTTTTTTAGTATGTGTTGTAGGGGAAGGAAGCCAAAAATATTCCTGCTTAAGGCCCCCAATGAGCTAGCATCACCTCTGATTGGCAATGAAACTGTACGATGCTCCTCCAGGTTTTAAATCTGTCAAAATAATGCAACTTCCCTTGCATTAATGTTGTATGTATTTGTAATATATATATCAGATAGCTTTACTTCCCACTGGCCAAGTACCTCAGAGCTACAGTCTGGTTCTCTGGTTGAAATGTAACCCAGAGGCACTGTTGGTGACAGGATAAAGAGTGAGACAATCTTGGGTATCTGTAAATCAGTCATATCCACTGGCTTGTGAATCCTGGCTAACCCTGCCACCACCGCACATCACTTCTTTTAATGCTTGCTTAGACACTGAATTTAGTGTCCAGGCCCAGTATATGATCTTTCAGTCTTACTAAACCAGAGAATTAATCTTTTCTTTAAGATACTTTACCTGTTTCTTCACAGTGATTCCTGTGTTCTGGTTTCTCAATGTTATCCAAATCTTTTAAATAAACACACACACACACAGTCACTCACTTGTGTGTGTAGATAGATAGATAGATAGATAGATAGATAAAATGAGTCTAACACAGAGGGGAGGCTGTGTAAATCAGACATTGTGTAAGCCTTTTCTTTTAGTACACCACAGTTTTTATGAGATTCTTTAGCTCAACTTCCTTTTCACAAGATAGACTACTAACTCTATAGTACTCACACTCGTTAACTTTTTGTTATAGTTATGAAAGTCTTCAAAGAACAGGAACTGTCTTTACCTCTCATCACCACTCAGTGGCAATGTGTTTTTTTTCTATTTTGAAAATATACAGTTGTTTTAATCACCCTTAAAAAAAGTCACTGACCTGGGCAAGAGGAGGAATAGAGTTTTCCAAATTAGTATTAATTTAAAGTCAGATGCTGTATATCTCTCAGAGGAAAAAATGCCTTTTCTACAGAGATATTCCCAATATTTACAATATATGAATCCTCTGAATAATGTACTGGGTTCTAGTGGGCTGACATCATCAACTGTCTTCATTTATTTCTTTCCCTTCTGAAAATTCTCTAAGGATCAACACCCCCACAGATGAGCCATGCAGTGATCAGCATTTGGGAGGGGAGCAGAGTTTGGCATGGGAAACACATCTAAACACTAAAGGGGCCCAAATATCAGCAGATTGTCTCAGAAGTCCATAAACTACTTTGTGGGTTGGATGTTATGCCATCCACCATCAGAGTTCTTTCTTCCTTTCTTTCTTGCATGGCCATGCTTACAGGAAATGTTTGTAACAGTATTGGATGCTTCATACTGGAAATCAACTTTGCATGTGGATATTCTCACAAATGTGCAATCCCCAAATGTATACATGCACCAAAACTATGTTAGAACTAAAAGTCTGATCATGGAAACACCACTAAGGATGGTGATTATTACCATGAATAGTACCCTTGACTGCAGTCAATGAGTGTGTTTATTTACACTGCTAAGTATAAGTCGTGCCACATATATCATTCAACATCTAGATTCAAAGAGGGATATCAAGAAAGCTATTCAGATAACCTGCCTTTATGGTAGCTGTTGGAGGACATATTATACCACCATTAGTCCAAAATATTTTAGAGACAAATATTCATATGAAAGGAAGTCTCATACTCTCTAACAAGAGAAGCTATTGAGTGAGTCATAACCAGGCGATACGCATAATCTAGACTCAGATAATAGAGAATTTCTGATTAGACAGACTCTTTTGACCCAAGGAGAACTACTGATTTCCTGGATCCAACTGCAGGACAAGTCAGAGCCATGGACTTTAATGAGCAAAGATAAGCACATGCGTAAGTGTTTTCAAGATCTGGGCCTTAACTGCAAACTATTTAGAGCAAGGTCAGTAAGATTTTTGTACATTACTCAGAATAAAAGGGCCCCAATCTGGACACTACCATAATATAAATTATAAGTAATAAGACAGCAGCGAGTCTTGTACTTTTCTAAGAGAATTGCACCTACCCACAAGCTTTAAGTGCCTTAATTAAAAAACAAAGAGACAAAATCCAGAAGCAACCTCTTCCATATATGGAAATAAAGAGCCAGACTTCACAACAAAGGGAAGATGAGGAGATATAACCTACGCTTCCAAAATATTCCATGCTACATGCATCTCCCTAAAAACCCCTACAACAAGACTTGCGATTCTCTTTTTCATAACAGGCAAAATTATTAGGCCGCATTAGGGAATAGTAACTTTTTTTTATTCCAAGAATGCAAGGAAACAGCTTTCAAATCCCTATTTCTTATTTTATTTAACCACAAGAAATTCCGAGGGAATTCGTTTTCACGTTCTCCCTGCTCCAAAAATATCATTGCTGCAACCTCATTGATACAACCTGCATGGGATGTTTCTAGCAGAGAGAAAACCTTTACAATAATACGGGGTTACACAGGAAGAACAGATCAGACACAGACTACAACATAAGAGCCTTGATGATATAATCCCATATTCAACAGAAAGATGGGTTGACTGCTTTCTGCTGGCTGCAGTTTAACAAGACCCTTAGGAGTACTCTTCCCTTATACTCCTGCCATCCACCCCAAACTTGCATTGAAATCATACAACTAGGAATAAGGCACTCATTAGAAGTAGTCCTGACAAACATTTTAATGTGTTCAGCATGCATGATGCTCCAGCAGAAGTTTCAATACAATCTTCATTTCTTTACCTAGTGGCACAAGGGAGGACCTGGTGTGGTGCGATAGAAAAAGGGCCATATCCTTTGTGGTGTACCACATTAAATTAATATGTCAGGCTTTCTAAGTCTGTCACTGTTCACAGACGGTGAAACAATTGTTTTGCTTCCCCACTCCCCTCTTTTTTTCCCAATTTTCACACAGTATCACGCTAAAAAAGAGTTATGGATTTCCTTCTGAGAGGACTGCATGGACTGATAAAGTAAATTCATGGCAGAAAACAACTTGTTATTTTCCCTTTTACCTCATAATTTCACTTAAGAGAGAAAGTGCAATAAATTTTGGCGGGAAAAAAAATACCATTTTGGACATTTTTAATGACTAGTCTGTGTAAACACTATTGAGAAATATGGGTGAGAACAATTCGTCCAGAGGAATGATTATTTTTCTTGCCCCGAGGCCCTAAACAGCACTTTTGTTAAGTATTTTAAATTGTCTGAAGTTCATTTAAGAAGAGGAAGAAGCAAAAAAAGCATATTTGGAAAACTCTCATAGGCTTTCATGTTTAAATGCTTTATTCTTTGGTGATTATGAAACATTCACTTTCTAACTCAACTGAAGAACTGTTGCCCAAACTTTCCTAACGTACAGTTAGCGGGCCATTTTGATCTCACTTACTCAGAATAGCCGAGATCAGAATCTGATCCAAGATATCCATGTAACATCTAGAACAATGGGGTCCTGGTCCCAGACTGGGGCCCCTAGGGGCTATGATAAGATAAATAATGAATAATAATACAGTTGGACACTCTTGCCATGCACACAATTTGTTGGAGCTAAATTCTCTGCTTGTGTAAACTCGCACAGCTCTACTGCCTGTAATGGAGCTTCAGCAATTCATGCCCGCAGAGAATTTGGCCCTTGGTCTTTAGTGTTTTACTAGCTTCCCTGACACTACTTAAATATGGTGCCTCGGTACAGCTCCTGTTATCTCCAGAACTCTGCTACAAGCTGGCTGGGAATTAGTACTTCAAGCATTGCCCCACAGGGTTCACTCTTTATTACCTTATCAAATGAACAAAATTTCCTTAATAAGTCTTCCTGAACTGCAGATAAAATAGCAAACAAACATTCGGGCGAGTTAAAAAAAAAGCTGACTAAATGCAGGAAGATCCTTCTTGTTATTCTACCAATATTGCTTCCTTTGCTTATTAGTAGCCCAAAGGAAATGCTAGTTCAGAGGGAGCCAGGGGAGCAGTTAGCAGCTTCTTGCTAGAGCTCCAGTATCTCTGCTCCACAGGCTAGAAGATGCTGTAAGAATGTGTGACTCATACAGCTCATCATGATTGAAAACTCCTCTGATGCCAGTAGAAATGTACTTAAAACCTTTCATTTGCAGGGTAAAAAAGAGAGTGGCGATGACATTCTTTTTCTGTGCATTCACCCTGTTTTCAAATCAAAGGGGCCCCAAGCTGCAGCAACAACAGGGTGCTTGCAATGTAGCTGGTTGTGACAAGGCAGCTGACAAGCCTTCCGCATTCCACAGCTTGATTATTAATATGAATAACTAATGACTCACGCTGACACTACTGAGGCCGGGAAACTTTCTGTAACTGAAGAGTTATAAAATGTTATTCTCCCACAGCACCACCGCCAAATCGATGAGTGATCTCTGTATGGTTTTGCATTCATTTCAAACTGAATATGCATGTCCCTGCACACATGGCTTGAAACAGTCAGAAGATTGGTGTTTAGGGGAAAGAGTTCAGTTGTATCAGGCTATTTAGGGGGCTAGCTGCAAGAATGCAGAGACATTTCTCACACTAGTCCACTTGCTTACTAATATGAATAACTAATGATTAAAGCATCTGATCTACCGAGGGCTGTGAGATTATTAGACCAGGCTTGTGAAACTCCTTTGTCACTGTCTGGAAAAGCCAGACTTCTCTGGATGTTGCAGTTTAATTTTTTTCCCCTCCTCAGAGGATGTGGTATGGCTTCAGCCAATAATTTAGAATCAGCAGAGAGTGACACGGCATCAAAAGCAACACTAAATGTACTGATCCTCTTCTTCGCCTGGGCTATGTGAGTTGCAACTACCTTTAAGCAAGTTTCTGAGCTTTTCTTACTTGTTTCCAGTGAGCGTGTTTCTTCCTTTACCCAGACTGGCAAAGTAGCAAAAGTGAGACAGCATCACGCTCTGCTGGCTGTACGTATGAGCTTGCTCTTCATTCAGTACTGTGCTTGTTTTAGTCTGTGATATGTGTAGCATACCGTTGGCTGTTATTTTTAATGACCGTAGCTCAAAAGCAATGATTCTGCCAAAGGAACCAAACAGGTTGATGCTACTGCTATTGTAGTGTGTGTAACTCACAGGAATAGTATAACATGCTTGGATTTACAAAAGGAAAATTTGTGAGGATGCCATGACTGTTTGAACAGCTTAAGTGAATTATAATAATATCGCTAAGGAACTGACAAATAATGAGCTAATAAACCAATAACCTCAGACATTAGCTTTAGTAAGAATTTTTCAAAGAAAACAGAAGTGGAAAACTATATATTGTAAGCATTTCCTGAAATGTGCAACAAACATGCATTTTCTTAAACATGGGACAGTCCAAAGTATATTTAACAGCACTGAATAGCACTTACCTCTCATGAAGCACTGCTGGTAAGAAGGAAATGACTCAAATACGCTGTTTGAAGCCATAGTTTCCTCTTTAAAACTTACTCTCTCTTTAAAGTGGGGGAATATATGATTTCTTTCACCTTGGGAAGTGAAAAAGTAAGAATGGTCACTGTTATAACCCTCCTTCTGGCCATTGCTTTCTATTTTATCTTAGTGCCTTTGAAGCAACATAAGTCAGATAATAAGATTCTTTTTCTAAAACAAACACTGAAATTGTTAAAAAAAAAATAGCGGATCAGTTGTGGTTTGATGATGCTTACCACTCTACGAAACTCTGTGGTTTGCAGTCAAAACGATTTGCCCTGTCTGCTGACCAATATCCCGGACCCGCTCTTGTGTGACTGCCTCTGTACCCAACTTGTGGTTCTGTGGTTGTTTATGAGGCCCAAAGAAGTGTTTCACACAACCAAAATTACAAATTTAACTGTTCCCCTTTCCACAACCTGTCTCAATTGGTCTGTGCCGATCACATGATTTGAGTGATGTCGACTTAAAAAAAAACCAAAACTTTCTAAGCAATGCCCTACCCACTCCACCTGCCCTCCCCTAGGCTGAGAAAAGAAACAGAGTAGATTTTGCAGAGGGAGGGGGAAAAAAGTGACTCACAGCCCCTCATTCTGTAAATGGTCTTGCTGATTTAGTACAACTCTGCTTGTTTTGTTGTTTGTGGTTTTTGGAACTACCGATTATTTTGATAGAGATTTCATTGCTGCTTATTCAATAGTAATTCAAACCCTGGTATTAGTCGGCTGCTAAAGGAGGATGCATATGTCATCATTTAAAACCTTAGGAATCAGCTGTAGGAAAAATCCACTAGCTGATGAAGAAGAATATAAATGGATACAAATCTGCAGTGTAGAAATTAAAAGAAGAAATTATGAATTTCAACCTATAGAGTCTGTAAGAAAGGACTTGAAGGAAGTCAGTCTGTATAAGCTGGCAACAAAGACTGGTATCATTGTAAGTTACTGACAAAGGGCCAAATCCTGTAGTCCTTTCCCAGGCAAAGCTCCCATTGACTTCAGAAGGAGTTCCACCTGAGTGAAAACTGAGTAAAGACTCATCAGTTTTTAGGATATAGTGAATAAAAGATTGATCAAAGAACACAATATTCTAAATTTCTGTCTAAAACAGTGGAGCTCCTTTAGAAACAGAGTAGCCCAGCCCATGCTGGTCTGACTCTGATGAGAGCACTATAGAGGGAAAAAAAAGCTACTTATTTCAGAACAATGAAGTGACTGTTATGCCAGCTATTGTCTCCTTTCTCCCCTCTTCTGAATACTGGACAACTACCTTTTTGCACTTCAATGCAAATCAATATGATACCTCACACCTGTACAGAAGCCTGGAGCTCAACAGTTTTTTTAAGCTATTAAACACTTGCCAAGGAACCAGTAACAATAGAGGAAATGAACCAATTAACACAGCATATCAGAAAGAGTATTGTCTTGCACATGCAATGTGACAAATGCAGTTAAAAGTGTAGCCTGAAGAAAAAGTAGTACACATTGGCTATGTTGCTATTATTTGTATTGCAGTAGTTACAGGAGGCCCCTATTTGGATCACGGCCCATTGAACTGGGTGCTGCACAAACACAAAGGAGCACAAAGTCCCTCCCCTGAAGAGTTGACAATCTAAGTCCACAGTACTGCAATTGGACTCATGCACCCAGACCCTAAAACCACAGAGCCCCTCTGACATCCACGGGCCGCACACAGGAATAAGGATTTCCCCACCTGAATCATATCTCCATTACATAATAACAAACCCATACTTTCAATACTTGTGGATTTTTCCCTACACTAATTTTGTTGTGGGAAAATAAAATCTCTTCCCCTCCTTGACTTTGTCCTTTCCATTTGGCTAACGTTGACTTATCTCTTGTGTTTCTAAAACAGCTGCAATTTACATAGTGCTGTCGGCTTATTTCCTTGCTTGGTGCTTGAGTGTGACTGATGATACAAGTCTCAACACAGAGCTGGGAACAGCATCAGGTTGGTAATTGCTATGTCTGAACCAGCAGAGGGAGCTCAGAAGGGTCCTACAAAAACATTGGGATTGGGATGGGGACGCTAGGTATTTCCCCCCTCTATAATCCATTAAACAAAAAGGTTGGCCAAATATTTAGAGTCTAAATTACTTGATAATAGAGCTAGATGAATAATGCAAAAATACTTCCTCCAATATTTGTTCTAATTTTCAGTGGTGCTGGAACAATTTTTATAGTGGGGGTGCTGAAAGCCATTGAATCAAACTGTACGGTAAACCCTGTCTATGATGGAAACCATGTTAAGCCAGAGGGTGCTGCTGTACTCCCAGCACCCCGACTTCCAGCATCTATCCTAATTTTTTCAAACAAATTCACTTTCATATTTCCAATATTTCCTCCTTTTATGTGTTCCCTTGCCGTGAACATTCATGCAAATGGGTTTTACTCTGTGAATGCCCATTGGAAAATGAGGTTTACGCTTACCCATCTGAACACATGAAAAGCAAATTCTAAATTCACTTTCTACAAGCCTTTTCTCCAGAAACCTGGTTGTGAGAATTAAGCTCAGCTAATTAGACAACAGAAACAGTATCATGTGGCTTATTCAGCCAATCATACACAGCAACACACCTCACAATTTGGCCAAACAAGTCACAAAAATATGTTTTAAATTCTTATTTTGATAAGGAACACAAGAAAGCCACAGTCTGTTCACAGGCATGCAAAGGACATGCAAGATTTAAGGCAAAATTGGTTGAACAAGTTATTTGTTATGACTTATTAGCTCAGTTCTATTTGATAAAGTCATTTCAAAATAGGATGTGCATTTCTTTTAGGAAGTTCTTACTGAGAGGATACATGCTTTTCTAGTGAAATCAATGCATGGAAATTCTGAAGGGCTGTGAAGGGCAGTGCTTGGACCAACTTACTTTTACAGAAAGTGGAAAAAAATCTGTTTTGTCTACTTTGCCTGGCTCTTGCTTCTATCCCATTGTCTAGATCACTAAGTAAGAGAAGCTTTCACAAGGAGCCCTAGTAACTCAATGCAGCAATGATTCCAGTCTTAAGGTATACAAACCACTGTTAGAATCATAGACTATCAGGGTTGGAAGGGACCTGTCTAGTCCAACCCCCTGCTTAAAGCAGTACCAATCCCCAGACAGATTTTTACCCCAGTTCCCTAAATGGCCCCTCTCAAGGACTGAACTCACAACTGTAGGTTTAGCAGCCAATGCTCAAACCACTGAGCTATCCCTCCCCCGCATAACTAAACTAAAGCCACTTTTTATTTCCCTTGTTCTAATAATCACAGGGATGGGAAAGCTCTCAGACACCCAGGCAGCTAGATACTCAGACAGCCGTAGCATATGCTATAATGGTCAGCAGGGCTATGGGCATAGCACTAGGGACAAAGTGCCACTGCATGCTGAATGTTAGCTATGTTAATGCCTTCACCTCAGTCATTTGCCACGCCAGCCGTGGCATAACTATGCTATGTGAGAAGCAATGACTGGGCTGGTTTTAACACCTCAGAATTACTGCAGATGATGCAAGAGAAAAAACGGAGTGTTTCAACATGTATCCTGCCACTGCAGTTTCTACTCTGCTACAAAACACAGCATCTGAAAATGCTTTGCTAACATCCATACATTTTGAACTTTAGGGAAAGGGATCATAGAACAGCACACTGGAACCCAGATTTGAGTCGTTTCAGAGTAGCAGCCGTGTTAGTCTGTATCCGCAAAAAGAACAGGAGTACTTGTGGCACCTTAGAGACTAACAAATTTATTAGAGCATAAGCTTTCGTGGGCTACAGCCCACTTCTTCGGATGCATATTTGAATGTTGTTTTTCAGGTCCATTCTAAACTTAAGTTGAAGAATTAACTACTATATTCCTAGGCCTTTGATATGCCAGTTAAGGAAGCTCTCCATTAATACTAACAAAGATGGGTTACACCTGGCAATTCTTATCAGAAATACTGAATGTGTTGAGGTATGATTTTGTAGTGGCGTTAGGTAAAACGTAATGGAAATGCTATAGTTATAGTTATATATGTCATTATTTATTGCCAGGTTATCTGGCAATGTACAAAAGAAAGGAAGATGCTGAAGAATTTCTCACAATGACAATCCCTGCCCCAAGGAGTTTATGAAAATACTACTATGGGCACTGCATTCTAATTAAAATTGGTCTCTGCTAGATTTTTTTAAATCTGGACTCTGGCTCTTCTAAATAAAGTTCCACATAATAATCACATGACTATTATCTGGAGTCCTTTGCTTTCTAATAACAGCTTTTTAACATTTAGGTAATATCATACTTAATTCTGGAAACTGACACATCATGAAGCAAATTGTCAAGTGGCCACATGACACTATGAAAGAGCAAATTAATGTGCCAGTAGTCATTTGTTTAATTTGGTATATGGTGTATTGGGCAGGGGTCAAAGGTCTAGTGATGTTAAAGAATTTATTTCCCATAGTTGACTGAGGAACATGACCCCATTAGCTAGCCATTAGCTGGAACATGACTTCAAGTAAATAGGTCTCGACATTGTACAAGTCTGAATACTGTGAAATCTGACTCTAGGTTAAAGGTGAACATGTCCACTTCAAACTCCAGTAGTGTTTCCAAATTTTGAAAAAGTAAAGAAGTCACAGGGTGAAACTAACAGTTCAAAGCAACAGAGAGTCCTGTGGCACCTTTAAGACTAATAGATGTATTGGAGCATAAGCTTTCGTGGGTGAATGCCCCTTGTCTGATGGCGCCACCGAAGAGGGGGTTTGACCCCCCCAAACTCATTTTCCACAAAAACATTTATTTTTAATGT